AGCTGGTTTCGAACAGTGCGGCCCACCCCTCGGGCACCGGGGAAGCAGCATAAGGCGCACTGCTGGGCGAAGCACACGCCCAGGGGAAGTGTAGGAGAACGTGTGCTGCAGAGTCGCAGTGGCAGAACGCAAGGAAAGGACGAGGGACTTTTCCGCGGCAAGCAGTTGACGACTGTGATTGGCGGCAACCACCTGCAACAGCAGCCCCTCCCCAAAAGGCCAACCTTTAGCAGCGGGCGAACGATCCCCTGCAACCACCGAGGCGGCCAGTAGCAAGCCACAGACGGGGTTGACCAAAGTAGTTCCACCAGGCTAATGCCGAAGCATGCGGCTCAGGCGGGCCACAAAGGGAACCGGACAGCGGGCGAGCAGCCATGTGCTCAGGGGAGTTGCTTGCCCAGAAAGCTGCACCGTCGCGGCACTACAAGCTGAGTTGGCGCACACGTCGGTTTGCACTGGCCCTTGCGCAGCAACATTGTTCGCGAGTGGGTTCTGCGGCAATCCGGCCTCTCTAAATCGCCCCCTGCCGCCCGGCGGCGACCAAGAGCATGGGCCGGCTGCAGCGTGCACTTCGTGGCCCGGGCAGCGAAAGCTGCGAGGGTGGGCAACTGTTTCGAGGCAGCCCTGTCTCGTGCAGACTTGTGCCTTTGGTTCGCTCCGGTACACACAGGCCACGCGGAGCATGCCGCGCACCTCGCAATGGGCGTGAGCAGGTGCGCGGCCTGGCCAGCCGCGCGGGGTCAAGCGGCGAGCTTCGAAGGGTGCACAAACCGTCTTTTCAGAACCACCCACCCGGCGAAGAGTTCTGTCAGCGGAACGGGTCTGGAAAATGGATCTGAGGAGCAGTGACTCGCCCACGCACGAGGCAGGCTGCAAGCCGGATTCCCCTGCGATAGCCAGCTCATCTTAGAGCGAACGGTGTTGGTCTGTGGCGGATTGGCTGGACTTGCCCGTCAAGGGCAAGCGGAGCGCGTTGGGTTTGATGTGTCCACGCCGATGGCTTGGTCCTTGCTTGAGAGCCGCCCAGCGCACTGGCTCAACGACCGCATTCGGTGGGCCGACTCGCCAATTCATACACGCTTGTGTTGTGGCCAAAGAACAATGGGCCAACAGCAAAAGGATTCCTCACGACGGCGAAGCCACGACAACAACTTGCGGCCGTCGAACCTGTCAACATCCAGGTAGCACAAAAGCATGCTAGCCAAAACACGAGTTCCAACCTCGCGACATGCTCGCACGGCTCGGTTCTTGCTCAAAGATTTAACAGCAACTGCCACGAGCCGGCAAGAGAGATAGACTGATGTCTTGGAAGGCGAAACCGAGGAGGCCGCAAGCCTTTGATGCCTGCTCCTGGCCAAAGAGTTCACCGCACACCAGGCTGATGGGCCGCCCCCCTGCGAAAAGGCCGCAACAGGCCGCGAAGGCTGCCTGAAAATTCCTCTTGCCTCCCGCTTTTCTCGAGACGCATGGTTGAGATCTTCCATTTTGCCAGCTGGGCGCATAACTTGTGGAAAGTCGTGTTTCTTGCGCGCCTACCTCTTGCGAGTGACTTTGAACATCGTATAAAGACGTGCCACGCGTATTCACGCGCCTAGCTCTCAAATCAATCTGGGTCACGAGCTTGGGCTCTCTGCTTGGACGGCACTTCTTGAGATAGTGGGAAGCAACTATCAACCACACAGAAGTCAACAAGGATACGTTATCTTTTGGCTTTGGTTGACTTTTTCTGCCTCGCAGCAAATCTGTGAGCGCTTCCCCAATTGGCTGGATTCCCTCGAATTGGCACAAAGGTGTTTTGCCAGTACCTCTCTTTAAAGCCGTCCAACCGGGGTAACAATTTCAGGAAACACCTCCTGGCAGAACTCAAACGGGCGACCCTGTGCCTATGAGGAGAAGAGCGACTCCCCAACATGTGTTCTCGGGACGCTGGACAGGCGACAATCGGCGCAATGGAATTGCATGCGGTTGGTTTCTGGAGGACGGTTTTCGTTTCTTGCTGTTGACAACCATGAACACTGCAAATTTGGACGACATTAGATTTGCATTGTGCAAGCTTCCTGCCCTTAAGCTTAAAGTTGAAGCTGTTGCCAAACGCCCGAAGAAGGCGCCCTAAAGCACCCATGGATGTTGTCTTGCATGAGAGCTATTAAACATCATGACAAGGAAATATGTTCCAGTTGAAGATCGCTTTGTGTACAGTGTGGCATTCTCTGCTTTCGCTCAACTACACCGCGAACCCGGACCAAGCAAACTGAATCACGACGCAGGTGGTATTTAGCACGGCCGTGAAAACAAGAAGTTGGGCACAAGGCACAGGCCGTGGTCACACACCATCGTGCTAAATTCGCGCCGGGCATCGGCAAATTGGAAGAGTAAACCACTCTCCCGCAAGGAATGCTTCTTCACCAGGCTGTAGACAAATATCATGTCCAGAATGGCCATGGTGATTTCCTCAGAGGCTTTGGGAAAGACTTGCTTACACAACCAGCTCCGGTATCCTGCAAGGGGAATTACGGAAACTACGTCTTTTAACAGACATACGGGCAAAGCTGTAAGCATCCAATTGCCATGAGTTGGGGCTGCTGCTGCTCCATGCACACCCTGCACCTTGAAAACTGCCCTATCCCACCCAACCCGCCCACGCATCCATCCATCCATCCATCCATCCATCCATCCATCCGTCCGCCAGCCCGCCCGCCCCACCGCGCTCAGCCCAACCCAACTCACCCCTACCCTAACCTACCCGAGCCCGGCGAACCAAACTGAACTGTTCTGCAGCGGAAGCTTGCGCGTCACTTTGCAGTTTGGCTTGGCTGCCAGGGAAATGGCCCAGCTGCTTCTGAGTTCAGCCCCCGGGGCCCGTCTCGGAACCCCCGGAAAGCAGGCTGGGGCTTGGGTTGTCTCACTGCTACTGTGGATTGACGGAACAGCCCGCCTGCTGAGTGGTTTCCCCCAGAATGAAGAACTAGCGTACAGTATAATTGTTTGTTCTTTGAATATCAAAACTGATTCAAAGTGAATCTATGATTAGTTGTCCTGTCATTTCCTCAGATGAGAAATACGGACTGCTCAGGTAGCAATATTCACGTCAGCGCCAGCCACTCGGCTTAAGCAAGGTGGGGAGCCAGGGCTCACTCCCAGTCTCTGGTCGAATCCTGCGCCAAGCACTAGGCTCTGCAGGCTGCTGGGCAGATTCAGTCCCAATGGTTGGTTGAAGTCGTGGCCAAATGAAAGACTCTGCAAGGACCCCGGAGGTTCCGTCAAAGGCTGATTGAAGCGATCCCCAAATCTCAGTGTTTGCAGATTGGGCAGATGCACCCCTTGCAAGGGTTGGTTGTATAAGTCTCCAAAGGTCAGGCTCTGCAGGCTGGGCAGACTCACTCCCTGCAAGCTTTGGTCATATTCGTGGCCAAAGCTTAGGCTCTGCAGGTTGGACAGATCGACGCCTTGCAGACTGTGGTTGAACTGACTGCCAAAGGCAAGGCTTTGCAGGGCTTTTGGAAGCGTCACCTGCATGCCTTGGTTGAAGTTGTGGCCAAATGTTAGGCTCTGCAGGCTGCTGGGCAAATCCGCTCCGAGCAAGCTCATGTTAAACTCATGGCCAAATGTCAGGCTCTGCAGGGTGCTTGGCAGGCCCACGCCTCGCAACGTTTGGTTGAAGCCCTTACCAAAAGTGATGCTCTGCAGGCTGCTTGGCAGGCTTACTCCTTGCAAACTTTGATTGAACCAAAGGCCAAAGGTTAGGCTGGTCACAGACAAGCTTGCTCCTGTGGCCGTCTTGTGGTAGTCACAACCAATTTTTAGGCTCCTCAGCGTGTCTGGAAGACTCGCTTCGGCCAAGCTTTGGATGAACTCATTGCCAAAGCTCAAGCTCTGCAGGCAATGAGGCAGTGTCACTTCCTGTAGGCTTTGATTGAACCTCCGGCCAAACGAGAGGGCTTGCAGGGCGTTGGGCAGATTTACGCCTCGCAGGCTCTGATCAAAGTGATCCCCAAATGTCAGAATCTGCATGGCGCTTGGCAGAGTCACGCCCTCCAGCTGCTGGTTGAACAAATCTCCGAAGGTGAGGCTCTGAAGCCCGCTGGGCAAATTCACTCCGTGCAATCTTTGGTTAAAATCGTCGCCTCAGCCCCGGCGTCCACAGAAACGGACAAAAGGACACCCTCTTTGTTGTTGCTTTCAAAGGGAAACCCTTCCCAACAAGCGAGAGAAAGGATGCCACTGGCCAATCGGGTTGCCAAAGGTCAAGCTCCGTAGGGCTGCGGGCAAGCTCACTCCCAGCAGGCTGTGATTAAAGCAGAAGCCGAAGGTCAAGTTCTGCAAGCTCTCAGGCAACGTCACTCCGTCCAAGCTTTGGTTGAACAAATCCCCCATCGTCCTGAAGCAGTTAGTTGATCCCTTGATGAAGCTTCTTTCTAAAGAGGATGTGTCACACACACATAGGTGTTCGTTTAGAGGAAATAGATGACCCTGGTAGATGATTAAACTACCAGATAAACCAGGGCCATCTATTTTTCTACCAAAACAACCAAAAAGGACACCAATGGTCATTGCAAACCTCCGGGGCGCCTTTTCCTCCTTCAAAGCATTAAAGGGTCTGCGGGAATCGGTTCTTGGCACTTTGTGCCAACTGCAAAATGCATGGTTTTTTCTATACTGCTCTCGGCCACCCTTGCGCTCATTGGCGCCAGCTCAAGACCCCACCTCCTGCTTCTTCTTGAAGATCGTGAAACCCACAAACTCCCTCAGTCCAGACCGCGACCCCACCGTGTAGTCGCCGCCCAGCACAAAGACAGGCCCCGACGTCCTCATCACCGTGATCCTCTCCGGCCCGATCTTCTCCTTCGGCATGTAGCCCCTCCGTGGGTCAAACTCAGAGACCCTCCTTCTGCAATGCATCTTGATGTAGTAGCCGCCCTTCTCCAACCAGCGGTCTTCTGTCCCCACCGGCTCCTTCATGATGCCCGGGAAGATCTTCTTCACATCCTCCGCCGCCTCCGGTGCCAACCCAGTCTGCCTCGCTTCTCCACCTCCGGCTTTCCAGCCTGCATTTCTCTCATGCGAGTTCCCGGCTCTGTCAACCTCTTTCTCAAGCCCGTCTGCAGCACTACTGCTGCCCGGGCTTCCTCCTCCTTCTGTGCTCCGTTCCTGCCTTTCCTCGGAGCTCTCTCTTTCTGCCCTTTTCTCAAGCAACCTCTGCATTGCCCTCTCCTTGCCACCCTGCATGGTCTTCACCTTCACTCCACCTCCGGTAGTTGACATACTCCTGCAGTCCTCCCCCTTCTCCAGATTCCGCACCGCGTCTTCTCTCACTCCACTTTCAACGCCTCCCATGCGGCCACCACCGCCACCAGAAGCGCCGTCCAAAACAGAAGCTCCTCCCGGGAAGCCTCCTCATCCTCCATGCAAGCTGCATCAGCCAGCATAATGCACGTGATGCCCGTCAAGAGGCCTCGCTCATGCTCAATGCTGCGCACCACCCTCGCCTTGGCCGCGTTCCCCTCCCCGACCTTCTCCGGGATCGCGTCGCTCTCGCCCATCTTCATACCCATCATCTCGGCCAATGCTCTCAAGCGAGAGCTTCCCAAGGCCTTGGTACCGATGTCCGCCAACATCATCTCGCCCGGCAAGTGCTGCAGCGCCCAGAAGCCATTCTCAAATCTCTCCCTGGCTGACCTGGCCCGGATCTTAAGTGGCCTCGTCCTCCATGACCCACCCGGCCCCTGCAGTAGCGTGACAGCTGCCGCATTATCCTGCATCATCACCAGCTTCAACGACTTCAGCTGGCCCCGCCCTTCCACATCGATGCCCGCCCTGTCCCACACCAATGCGACCTTCCTGTCCTCCATGTCGGCGATGATTTCCGCCCAGGCTTCCCCTTGCAGCACCCCCTCCATGGCTGCCAACAACTCAGCCTCCGCGGTCGATCTCGCCACAAACGGCTGCCGCGTGCTCGTCCAATGGATTGGGCAGCCAACATAACATACGATGACCCCCTTCTGCGAGCGCCCTCCATCCGGCCCGAAGCCTGCGTCCGCATAGACCTCCACGGTGTTCATGCCCCTCTCATACGTACTCCCCATTCTCCCCGTGGCCCTCCGCCGCGGCACCGAACTCCAACTTCCAATCCACCGTCTTCTTGAACAAGCCCAACAGGTAGATTCCCATGTCATAGGCCCGCCTCGCCTGCCGCGCAATCAGCTGGCTGATGCGATTCACGCCATAGCCGATGTCTGGCCTTGTCCGGGTCGCCCACAACAACTCCCCTGACAGCGTCTGTGCTCTCCGAACCATCTCCATGTCCTGCTCCTCGTCCTCCCCGTCCTTCTCGATCTCCTTCGGTACCGGGATGAGCTTCTCCTTCACCTCGCTCCCGTACCAGTTGATCACATCCTTGATGTAATCCTCCTGCCCCACAAGGATTTCCCCACCTCCTCCTGGTTTCACCATCACAACGCCTTTTCGGTATTGGCCCACTCCAGGTCCGTGGCGTCCCACTCCTTCTTGATGTGACCAGCCATCACCTCCACGATGCTCTGCTCTCCGATGATCATCATGTCGTCCACGTAGCAGCAGATGAACCCCACCGTGGTCTTCCCCAGTTTGATCTTCCACAGGTTCTCATCGGCAAAGGCCTGCTGCAATACCAGCACCTGTCCCCCACCGACGTCCACCTTCCACCTCCTGAGAGTGTCATCCCGGTGCGCCCCCCAATCGCCCAGCTCATAGAGCGCCTTCGTCACCTCTCACATGATGCCCGGCTCCACAACCTTCGCATCGATGAGGATCCTCGGCGGTCTCACCACCACCCGATGGGCCGACCTCCCCGGGGCGTTCAGGAACGCCGTCCTGATGTCCAAGCTGCCCACCGACCACCTCATAGCCGCCGCCTTCCGGAGCAGCGCACGAACAGCGCCGGCCTCCACCCCGGATGCGTACACGTCGGCTCCTCCTTCCACCTCTTCCTGGATTTGGTTGCCTGCGAATCTTTTGGACCGAAACGCCTTACGATCAAATCGTGTTCTCGTGTGACACAACGTCATGCGAACAACTGTACAACCGGATTCCTACTGACATGAGTACAGGCTACGAGATGTCTCATACATAGCCACAAGTACGGTGCATTAAAGGTTTAGCACCCCGCCTCAGATTAATCTGAAACTGGTGTTGCAAGATTCATCTGCACAATGCACCATGCAATGTCAAACCAAAAAAAACTCGAGCTACACAGCTATGCGTGTACAGCACCACTGATAATGCGGCCTCCGGCCACAAAGCTCATCTGTGAAACCATCATCATGAAAACTCCGAATTCAGTCACCACCAAGCGGATAGGCCACTGCGACTCTCCTGTGCGGCTCTGAGGCCGCCTTTGCTGCCGAGCCAAGGTCATGGCAGCTGTGGCACTTCTTGTAATGAGCTCCAACTGCAACACATTCGGATACAGCTGAAACTTGTCGGCCTTGAATCCACTTGCAATTCTGCCTGTGATAATGCTTCCCATTTGGCGTAGTATACACCTGGCGTGTCTCATCCTCCTGCGGCAATGTCTTCTCAACTGCCGGCTCTTCTGCAGTTCCACCAGTCTGCAAGGTCTGAGGCTGAGGATACAACCTTCCAAGTCTGATCCAACAGACAAACTTGTACATCCACTGCACCGTGGTAAACATTCCAATACATGCAAATATAAGCAAAACCGAAAAGAACATGTCGATCCCAGAATCATCTGAAAACTCATTCACACTCATCTCATTGGGCTCTGGGCTCAAGGCGTTCTGACTGGCGCTCCAAGCGCCACGCACCATGCTTTGCAAAGTTCCAAGCTTCACAATCCTCTTGGCAATCTGCATGCTTCCGCTCGCCGGAAGCTGTCTCTCCGTTCTCTCACTTCGCACTTCTTCTGCAACACGTCTGATGACGCTCTTCATGTGCGAATGCAAACATTCCTCTTCAAGCTCTGCATCGCCAACTAGGCTAAAATCCTGCAACTCATCCCTGATGCCAATGAGGCCCAAAAGGAGCCTGATTCTGTCCTTGCTCAATGCCTTGGTGGCTATATCGGCAGGATTCCATTTTGTCGCCACAGCTCCAATCTTCACTTCACCTGATTTCACCTTAGACTGGAGCCAAAGGTGGCGGGCTTCAAGATGGCGTATCTTGCCACTGCCCCGCCTTTGCTGAATCCCGCGGGCCGCGGACGAATCCCCGAGCAACTTCAATTCAATGCCTGAACTATCACCAAGAGCAAAACCCAAAACTGCTCTCAGAAACAGCGCATCTGCTGCCGTGCTGATTGAGCTATAAAACTCGGACTCGCCGCTGGACAGCGCCACAACACGCTGCCCTCTGCTTGCGCTATACCACAAATGTGAGTTGCAAAAGATCGTGCATCCTGACGTGCTTCTCCGTGTATCTTTGTCTCCTGCCCAATCGGCATCACTGATTGCCTCGATCAGGAAAGGCTTCGAGGACTCCGAAATAAGTCCCTTGCCTTGGATTGGCTCTTCAAAGGCCAGTGCATGTCCTCTGGCACCCCAGAGGTACAAGGTCATATGCACAAGCAACTTCCATGCTCCCTTCGATGGTGCAGACATGAACTGACTGAGCACACGAATACCATATTGTGCTTCTATCACATCTGCAGACAAATACAAAAGCAAACCAACACCAGAACGATAAGCACTTGCTTGCGGTTCCTCCAAAAGGGTGTGGTCTACTTCGGTGGGCAACTTTCCAACCGGCAGGGGTGTCTTCCGGGGCCGATGTACGGCAATGTCACAACCAACAATCTCAATAAGCTTGCTGAAATGCTTCAAGGGTGGTTGCAACAACAGCACATTGTCATGCCAAAGAATATGCTGTCTTTTCAGAAATGTAATCTGATCACCGACTTCATGCAAACGTTCAATCGACACATCATACTGTTCCTGAACAATGCGCTCAAATGCGTCACAATGCTGCTTGCTGCCTGCATACAAAACATCGTCAACGTGAATCAATAGGACCATGAAACCTGGAGTACCATCAATATCCTGAATGCGATAAAATGCGGGAATCTCTCCACACGAACTTGCTTTTGCACGGCTCTCGAGGTACCCAGTGAAACTGTCAAACCAAATGACTGCGCCATCGCGCTGTCCAGGCACACACTTCAGCATGTCAAATGTAAGCGTCTCATCACCCACACGAATGGTGATAAGTGTTGGGTGAATCTGCTGGCACGTCAAATATGCATCATGGACATCCATACTGCCCATTGTCCAACACTTGCTCTTCTTGAAGTGCATGAACAGAGAAGGCACCACCCGACTGACGATGGCACTGCTGGATGGCGCAAAGAGACCGCCGCGCTCGGGATCAAGGTGAGCAAACTC